TTATTACTACAATGTTTCCATTTTCATTTCAGAGGACAGTTGATTGAATTTTAGAATAAACACAGAAATCTTCAGTCTTCAAAATGCATATTTTTCATCAGGTCCTGTAGTCTGTTAAAACATGATGCACAACAGTGTTTCATTTTTAAATGACGTTTTTATGTAGAAAAACATAAATCAATCAAGTTTTACTCTCCAAAGATACATCACAGAGAGGATAAGCTACAAGATGGTTAACACATAAGCTAAGTACATGAACCAGTCATAATAGATTCATTACTGTAAGCAAAACATGCTAGTTCCTCTCATCCTCCACAACACACATCTCATATCCTACTGCTACACTGACATGCTTGTTTCAGTAACGAGAAAATAAAATTAACTGATTCAAATTGATTTTATTTCTGATATTGTGAGGAGAATGTAGCACCACCTATAGGTCTATGGTTATATTGGATGTATGGAGGGTCAAATGTGGCACTTATTATTAAAATACATCTACATAACAAATACATTTTGTTTTGTTTCATGTCACTCTGTACTGGCCAGTTAATACTCATTTTCTATATATAGTTCGCATAGATAATATATTTTTCTTCTACGTTTTGGGGTGTTTTGGATTCTTTCCAGGACTTCTTTGGGGGGATTCGTGAGAATTACTTATTTACAGAAACCTTCCATCTGATATGGTCCTAGAGAATAAACCTGTCACGAGAAAGAAAGTGGTTGGTAGCAACATCAGTAGCTGAAACTTTTTTCAAAGATACCACAAAAGAGAAGATGAGGTTAACCTCAGGTCCAGTTGTTCAAAAGATTTATTTTGAAAAATTCTACCTCGGAATCACTTAATCTGTGTTACATTTATCATGGTTGTTGAAAGCAACACTGGATTAGATCATTCTGATCCAGATAGACTTTTTAAGATAACCAAGTCTGGATAAGCATCAAGCTAAATGGGACTTCAAATCACAATATATGCTACTAGCTATGTGAAGAATTACACATCGAGTAGCCAGTGTGGGGTCACTTTTGTGAGAGTTTTTATTTAAAAAGACAGGAATTGACAAAACAATACAAAAAAAACACTTTACCTCCTCTTTTAAACAGCCAGACCCCTCATCTGACCCACAACAAAAATAAACATATAGGCAAAAGAAATTTGCAGATAATTTGTACACATTAAATTATAAAATTTTGTTAAATGTCCAACAG